ATTTGAGAACACTGAATAATCTTTCCACCTCAGTCTTTGAAGAAGGAACTGCTAGCAAAAGTGAAATGACAATTACAAGGTTTTCGTAAATGAAATTACCATGATAATCTTTCATGGTACATGAAGTACCTGTATATTACAATACAAGTAAGTTCTGGTGACATCAACGAAAATAGGTAAATAAAAATTTGGCGGATTATACTTATTGGGATTCTGGGGAATCCCTAAGAAAAAGCAGTGGCTTAATCTATGATTTACTTTACTAGAGGGTTACTGTTGAATCAAACCTTTATAGTTTTTATACACAACTCTGTTTTATTCTTTTACTTGTCAACTCGACTTAATGTCATTCTCTCTCCATAAAATAAAATGTTCATTGTTTTACTTTAATTATCGTTTATTTTAAAATTCACAACAGTTACTAGTATAGGCTTTGCTTTTTACCCCGAAATATCCTAAATCCTGGTATTTTTTAAATTGTCTTTATCATCCAAAATATCAGCTATTTTTCCCTAAAAAAGGGAGAATTCCCTAAAAGTGGAAGCACTGCTTCAAAGTACGCTACATTTTTTATTGAGTCAGAACTCATATCTGCCATCTAGTGAGTTTATTAGATCATTAATGCCTAAAAGTTACAAAAATGACGTCGCCACAGGAGTAAGATGACGCTAGTTGTATGTTATTTTCCTTTGTATGGGAGTTGCACCCCCCTGGACTTTTCTACAGTAAAACTTAATTCAAATGGAGATTATTACATGTTTGAAAAATAGATAGGTGTATGTTACAAACAGATTTCAATGGAAGATATTATTTGTTTAATATATATGCATAATGGTTGTCATAACATGGAATTTTCGTTATCGAGTTTTTTTTCGAAAGCTACGGTATGTTTTTGATTCTTGCCAATGCCATAAAGCCGAATATATCAAACACAAATATAAAAGAAAACAGAACACACATGCCACGATAACAAAATAATAGAATTCATATTAGCTATTTGGATGTTCTGTTAAGGTAACTTGGATAAAAAAATACAATAATTTAAAACACGCATACTTTTTAGAGACCACATACAATGGCAGTTTTCACAAACATTGTTGACACTCCGCTCTTTAACCTACAACGAACACATGAGTCAAAACTATGCCATTGATATCTTACTGGAACCAATATTTTGGATTGTTGACAACTTTGCTAAGTACCTAGGAAAGGTAAGACTGAAATTGAAACAAAACTTAGATTTCAAACATTGTTGTAGATACACAAATGAAGATATAAAGTAACAATTGCTTGCAGCAATTATGAGTCCTTTTGTAATGTTGTACGTTGTAGAAAGTATAATTATAATGTTTGATAGAAATTTTTAGAAATCAATAAAAGCATGTTAACGTTACAGTTGTTATAAATGAATCCAATTTATGATTTCAGGTGTTTGTCTTCTGTGTTAGTGTTCTAACAACAGCTGTAGTGATAATAGCATATTGGGTCGGCTTGCCATACTGGTGGGAGCGGAGTCCAAAAACTACAATATTCTTAATTATATTCGGAAACTGGCTTCTCCTGAACATAATTTTTCATTACTACATGGGTATAGTAACATCACCCGGGAACCCACCTCATGTATGTACATTGTAATTACTCCAATCAGTGTACTTACCGTTACTTACGTACATAAGAAAACCGACTTTAAACTTTTTACACAAACATGATAAACATGAGACTTCCCATAATATACAAATTAGTGTAATTTAGTACTTTTTTTTTTTATTGCCCTTGTAGGCAGACGAGCATACGGCCCACCTGATGGTGAGTGGTTACCGTCGCCCATTGACTTCAGCAATGCCAGGGGCAGAGCCAAGCCGCTGCCTACCGCTTAATACTCTCCACAAGCCTCATTTAAAGAAGGACATGTCATAGCGCTCGGGAAACACCGTGGGGGGAGCTCATTCCATAGCCGGATGGTACGTGGCAAAATGATCTCTGGAAACGCACTGTGGATGACCGCAGTGGCTCCAGGTAGTATGGATGAACTCTACTCCGGTGGCAGGCGGTGCGATGGTAAAAACGAGATGCCAGTATCATCTCGAACAATTCCTCAGAGCACTCCCCATGGAACATACGGTACAGAATACAGAGGGAACCGAAGTCCCTCCGCAGACCTAGAGGCTCCAAACGATCCAAAATACTTACCTTAAAACCCATAAAATTATACACTCTTTGTAGCACAACAGCTAATATCTGTTATGAAAAGAATACATTCAGTTTGAGATGTCAGTAAATACATTTTATGAGTAACACCTGTTTATGTTATCAGCTTACAAAAGGTACAAATAACATCTTAAAGGTGCTAAAAATTTTAAGATATATACTTGAGCTTATAAACAGTTGCCTTATGTTTGTTATTGTCCAGAACACATGTGAGATTCCTCTTGGATTTCACACAAGCTTTGAAATATCATATAAAAAGTCATACATAACCAAAAAAGCTTAGTTCTTTGGTTCTTATATATTAGTTAGTTATATAATAGTTTCCTTTGTAATTAACATTTTTTAATCATTGTATTTGCCACCTAATCAAATCCTATCACTACCCTCAATTTTGGTTATTGTAACCTCTACATGATTTGACAACTGCTAGACTCAAGTAATTCAACAATGAACAGCCTTAATTTCAAAATAAATTTAAAACATAATCAAACTATTACACCATGGCAGTTATAGCAGGCTATTATTCAGATGTGACCTGGCCATCTCAACTTAATACAAGTTCTATTCTATGTTCTATATATCACATGCCTGGCCTCAATTTCATTCTTGAGCATTGATAGTAGTGTGTTTTATCCTAAACTATTGTGATCATACCATTTCCTATAGTGTTGTAATCATATAACAACAAAATTGTATTTGTTTTATTTTTCATTGCATAAAGGAATAAACAAGTTCACAGTCGTAGTAGTATTAAATGATTATAAAAGCTCAAGCTTACTTCAAAATGGAGTTCTGAAAAAAGGGATGTTATGACAAAAAAAAAATGTTCTGAAAAATTACAGGGTGCAATGATAACAGAAGCTGCAAGTATTTGCAAGAAGTGTATATCGCCAAAACCTCCTAGGACACACCATTGTTCAGTCTGTGATAAATGTATACTTAATATGGACCACCACTGTCCATGGCTAAACAATTGTGTAGGATACTACAACGCTCGGTACTTCTACCTATACATGGTTTACATGGTTGCTGGAGTTACATTTGTAATAGTTGCTGGTATTGACCTTGGCTATCAAGTGCTTTGGGTGAACGATACAGGTGAGATTTACTGTAGAAATTACTACTAGGGAAACGAAGCTTGTATTATGCCTACTGGAGAGGTGATATTGAACTGGTGTCTGGAATTTGATCAACTGCTTCTTTTAGCATATGTGGGAATTTATCTGATTATGCTTCTTTAGGAAGACAATTGTTCTCTAGCTACAAAGATATTATGCTTGATAACCTGCAATTAAAATCAGTAGGAGCAAGGGCCTCCTAAAGTTGTTGTTTTAGAAACATTAGTTTTATTAGATCCATTTAATAATAATTCATAAATAATTATAAGTTCATTTGTTACAGGAGGAATCATTCCAAACAATGATCCAGATCTCATCGGCCATCCATTACGGATGAACCAATCGGGAATATTAGTACCAGTGAAGGTTATAGATGAGTATGACTCAGAACATTTTCCTCGTGAACATGATTTGACTGTTCCTCCGTTCACTGAGGCCCAGCGTATTACAGCACATCCGTGGAAACGAAAAGCTGTTTTGTTCATGGCTATTATATGCGTTTCTGTATTGTTTGCTCTGGGAACGCTGACTGTTTCCCATGGAAGGAATATATCGCGCGGGGAAACAAGCATTGAATCACATATTAACATGCGAATAAGGAAAAGTCAGCCTAATTTCAAGAATCCGTATGATTTTGGCAGGAAAAAGAACTGGCGGTTGTTTCTTGGACTGATACAAGGACGAACGTTTTTGAGGCACGTGCTATTACCATCTAGTCATAAACCAGCTGGAACTGGTCTCTCATGGCATTCTGTACATAACACTATTGAAGATTGGCCTTGAAATAGTTTATCAAAATTTCTTAACACACATAGACACCTAAGTGGAAACAATTGAAAGCCAATAACAGGCACTGATTTATTTTAATATTACATAATTTATATTAAGTTAATATATTGAATAATTAATACATTGTGTAATACAAAATGTTAATTTGATAATCACTCACCTCAAGATTAAGATGTACTATAATATTATGATAGTTCTAACGTAGTGTTGTGACATTAAATAGAATAATTATTTAGAGTTAGATTAGGAATAAACTTAGTTATAGATTAAGAGAAGAAGCTAGTCCAATTTTTTAAAAAAATGTCTGTACTTAGTTTTGGTTAAACTATGATATATTGTTGAATTTGTTAGTGAGATGTACTTGTATTATACTCATATACTTAAAATTATATTTTATCGTTTATTTAACATATATTTGTTATGCCACGATTTATGCTATTGGCAGATTTAAATAGTTTCCATACATTTCCTTGTTTAACTTTGAGCTAGACAAACTACAAACAGATACATTTACACTTGGCCGAAGTTGTAAACATTTACTTCTAATGCAGACTTTCTGTACATAAAATTTGCAAATAGAAATCAAATAGCAGTAAAAATATTTATATAAGGCATAGTAAATGCTATAGAAGCTCACTACAAATCAGATGAGTTACATTCCAATGAAAGACATTTAAATTCAATGAGATGAAAATTATGGATCCACCCTGTAGTCAAAGGCAGACGATATCTCAATATTGGTTTTATTTTAAAAATACATTGGCAGTAAGAAAAAGAAATAATGCATTAAAAAAATACAAAAGAAATTTTCGGTGTCGATTTAAGTATATTGCTTGTTGATGCTATTATTTAAAAGGAAAGTTTCCTACAATTCCTTAAACTATATGATGTGTTTTATTTACTTGTCCCATGAGTATCTTGCAAATTATACAGTGCTGCTATAACACTCAATCGTACAAGAAAAAAATAAACAATACCTACAGTTTAAAAATTAGTTTTATTGGCTTGTTCGAAGCAGACAATGTCACTTAATAATATGTGTTCCAGGTTGGTTTCAGCTTTTATCTAAAGGGGATTAAAAATTTCAATTGAATTCATGAAAAACTTATACTAAAAATAGTACCACGTTCCATCACACTCTAATAGGAGAATGTAACATCTAGAAAGATAACCGCCCTTATAGTATACATAAGCAATGTATACTCTAATGATCGCCTTAATAAATTCAAATTCTTACAGAACAGCGTGATTGGCTTATGCTCCAGTAGGTTCCGACTTTTTTGTAAATAATATTCACGTCGTGAATAGATGCCCGTAATAGATAAAATTCTATATTTAATAAAAGGTGCGTAGTTCGTGGTAATTCGGCTTTAACACAGTAGACTTCCAATTTCTATCTTGGGGCTTCAGTAACCTCATAATATTAGTTTGTCCGTAAACGCTACTGCTTTATTTATGAAAATTTAATAGTCTTAATTAAATTACGAATATAAAATTTCATTGTTAATGTCATTTACATAATTTATATAAAAACCACAGATAATTAGCTATACCTACACACATCATCATAGTCGGTTACTCTTGGAGCAGCAGTCGTGGTCATGTGGAATCCTTTATTGACGCTGCTCTCCATAATACACGAACTGATGCTTAACGCACGCATTCGTTAAGTGGGGTTTTGGTAAGGTTTTTCACATTAGTAGTCAAAAGCTATTGAATCAAAAATGACCGAATATTAACTCCTTAATTGATATTATGTATGTTCTCTTGTTAAAAGATGTAATGAAATAAAACGACGAATTTCAGTTTACTTTCTCTTTATTTAAAAACTACAAATTCACTACGAGAACAGTAGAAATACAACTACGGCTTACACGCTTGCTATATACTACTTATTGATAATTTAATATCACAATGCATCTAAATGAATACTAGGTTAAAACATATTGCACGTTCGATAATCTTAACATTAATATTTGGCACAAGTTGATATTATTATATATTATAATGGAAGCCTATTTAATTTTATTCCGTTGTTATTAAATTCTGTTTTCATATTATTGGATTCTGATTTTGCTTAGAGCTGTCTGGAAAATACATAAATTCCGCGAGTACAATGTGACCACGCTGAGAATGAACTTTCAAATTCCTGTCTAAAACAGTGCTTGTGGAGCAAAATTTGAATACCGACATTGCGTATTTGTTTTAAATACTGACAACAGTGACAACACAATTTTTACTTCACTGTTTTTAGGTTATCTATTTCCTTAAGCCATCAAAGTCTAAAATTGCTAATATTGCTATAGTCATTTATGTTTCTATGGCAGATAACAGTCTCGTCATAAATAATATAGTGATTTTAAAAATTAAAAAATTAATTTGGTACCCGTTATTCTCTGAACCTATTTATTGTGTGTTTAAAAGACTTCAAAAATATAAAGTTCTGAGATCGGCTATTTTTTTTAGACCACCTCAGAACTTTTTTCTAGGTAAACCAATGTTTATGATTATTTCATTTTATGTGAAATCTAATGCTTCTCATGTGGTCCCATTTAAAATTTTACAAGGTCTGATCAGCTTTAGGGTTGTCCTTAATAATGGATATTTAATTGACTTCGACTACATTTATGGTATTAATTAATATTTCTTCTAAATGATAAATTACTCGGTATAAACTATCGCACACTGCATTAATATAAAAAAATTACTTATCTAAAAGGTTTTATGTAAAATAATATTTTCCTTCAATATTTATGGCTAGACTGTAACCTCCGTTCGCGAATTTCACAGTAGGTATATGGTCTAACTTTAAATTAATTTGTGTACATAGGTAGATAATATTTCTACTCTAGCGTTTTCTCTATTGATCGTATTACATTATTAGTACCAGTTATTCTTTGAGGTAATTGTAGGTCACAATGAATTTAGTTATTTTATAAGAAATAATGATTACTTAATTATTTATTAGTAAGGTTTCTGAAGCGAAAAATTGATCATTAAAAGGAAAATCGGAGAGAAATCCCTCAATACATTACTTAGCTTAATATGTACTTGTTGTTTTAGCAAGTTCGTTGTATATCTGTACTCTAAACACAAGCTGGCGATCGCCATCGCAAGTTGCTGGCGACAGTTGCGACCAATGATCCCGTGCGTCAGCTGATTAGGTAATAAGTTACCTACATTGTGCGGAAATTCAAAATATTAGTGTTTTTACTGTAAATAATGACAGGAATCATCGCTTTTCTAATTAAAAATAGAAAATGTTACAAAAATTACTTAACTCCCCCCCCCTCCCCCAAACAAATAATTTCTTAGGTACGAATTAAGTTGACAGACTATTGTTGATTTTATATTTAAAGCTTAATATTTTTAAGAGTGCTTTTTAGATTTCGATTAATTCAATAAAACCGTTCAAAAAAACACTGACTCAGTATAAATCTCGTTTCTTATATCAAATCAATTCAATATCAAACCCATTGATAGACTAATTCCTATTACTGTTTTGTTATAAAAATTTCAGTAATACGTTTTGTTTTTTAAATCAAACAGTAAAAATGATAATTCTCGCCATCGTCAAGCTCACGCAACTAGAATTATATCTACTTATATTAAGACTAAAATATATTTTTACTAAGCATTCAATTACTTCGATGAATATATTATTATGAACATAAATTCTACCGACTTATTTAAGAGTAATTCTTTCTAAGTTCAGTATGAAGATAAAACATTTAGTAAACACTTTAGATAAAACATAAAATAAGAAACGAACGAGTTTTATGTAAAAAATAAAAAAAAGATTTACATTGGTATAGTGAGTCCGATTTAAACAAACGAAAAAAATACAATTAGGTATTGCAACCTAATCGAATTAACAATCGAAATGTTTTTCTTTGATCATAGTTGACTGACTCGTTTGTCGAACTTGATTGCGGTAATTAGATTGCTTAACATCCCGGACTCGCAACGAAATCAATCGGTTCATGGCGCAAAATTTTTATTAGAAAATCTCGCACCTTCGCCCAAGATAACCCATCGTTGCAATGATACGTATTTCTGGATCGACATTAAGTTGATTCAGTTCGACTTAAGTTCGCGTAAAGGGAAAACTATCGAGAACAATCGAAAGAATCGACCTGAAACTCAACCCGTTGCTCTGCTGGACACATTAGTCTCAATCAAATGCTCCAACTACTGTCTGTTTCACGAATTCTCGAAACATTAAGAGGCTTTATCACTGAGAGCTTAAACTATTACTAATCTTCTACGTTTTTATGATCCGGTGAGCCTCATGATTCATTCTAAATAGACGAAGAAATTCTAAGCATGTCCTACAAATGCTGAGATGACGTCCGATGTTATAGAAAATAAATAAATTTCGGCACGCACCGTAGGTGTATTCAGATTTACGCGTCAAAAGACGATGAATTATTGCAAAAGCTTGCGGAGTCCTTCTGTTGCCCATTCGAGCTGCGGGATCGATTCGGACCTACAATACGCAGCGGCACTAAAACATCAATTACTCAAAACTGACTTCGAAACGATAAGCGGACGTCATAACTCTACATTGAGGCAGTGCTAGTTGTGCCCGTATTGTAAATTATCGGAACTAAGCGCCAATGAAGTCAGGACACTGCGCCGTTGCGGATTTACTCCCAGATTCTCCCAGTTGATCCAGGACAGTCTAGCGGTCAAATCTGAATAGATAAACGGTTATTAGTAGTACCTACTTAACTGAGTTTTACTTAAACTTGATTAATTGTTCGAAGGCCTTTAATTATAGACAGCTGCTCTAGTGTACCTAAGTAAAGGAAGCTAGGACAACTTCCTCAACACAAAGCTAAGTAGGTACAAATCTGTGATCTGGGCTAAAAGGGCCAACTGTCAATAATGATTATTTTAAATATTAAGCATTAAGAACAACGGGCCGTCAATAACAGTTATTATAGTGCATTTTTTATACTGTCCTTTGATTGTTGATACGCTAACGCCCTTTTAGCACAAAAATGTCATATTTTTTTAATAAATTGGTCCTACAGTTTCATTTCATACAAAAACGTATTTTGGTCTAGTTAGCTTTAGGCCACAGAAACGTTTACCACGGTAAGTCAATATTTCATTGTTTAGATGCATTGTAAGCCCCAAGAGTAATTGCCGGTTTGGTGGGTGAGACAGACTTTATGCATGATGAGGTTTCGTCCATATTTGGTGACCCATGATTTTTACTGGTAAAATAAATAATTGTGAAACGGCAATATATCAAAACAGGCATTGCATGACTTTTTCCCTTTAAGGTTCATAAGCATATTCCATTGCGTGTGTTAGTCAAATATTAGTGTTAGAAAGAGTTTATCATATTATCATATTATGAGTCAGCTGGTTTATCACTTGTCTTCGTTGTCGCTCACAATGTCAATATATTTATATAAATAAAATAGAAAATTCATAAGCAAATATTTAATGACGACGATTGGCATTGAACGCAAAGGGTAGGTATAAGAAAATTTGCATAGGTAAACTGAAGTCTAATTACCGCTAGTATTCCAGTGAGCTCGATCTGCCTTTATTTCACCTCGAAGACATTTTTCTACGTACGTCAATGGATCGTAGTCTGCATCCAAAACCTAGAGCAATTTGGAATGCACACATTACATTATTGTGATTCATGTGATTAAGAAGATAACTGACTTTATATTTATACATATATTATAAGTACAGTACATGTCTCGTTTATTATCAGCGGAAATTCATAGATATTTTTTCGCCGCGTACGATCAAGGAGTCTTCAAAACTCGTTTGAAAACGGACAAGTGATAGCGTTCGGCTATCACCCTGGAGGGAAGTCTATTCCAAAGTCAGATGGTACCTACCTATGGATATATGCCGGAATCATCTTAAATAATTCCTTCGATAATATTATATTTATATATTTCCTTGCTTTACGTCGACGAAGTCATTCCTATCATAGTCATTCCTATACACGATGTTGAGTTGTTTTTACTGGTGGTAGGACCTTGTAAATTCGCACGGGTAGGTACCACCACCCCGCTTATTTCTGCCGTAAAGCATGCGTTTCCCTTCAGACCGAAATTGAACAATAAAGAAAAAAAGAATAAAAAAAGTATAGCGCTTCTCTCTGACACATGAAACTGAAGTCACATTTACCTATACTCTCACATATAGGTATCATAACGAACCGATATAAATAGACCTGATTCATAGTACTTGAACGTACTCCACCAAAACATGAAGTTTTTTTTTTACTTCACATAGATTTCTTCTAATGCACGTCCGTGAAGAAGATGAGATCTTTTCTTTACTACATCTCACATCAATCGTGCGATTTTAGCCTTCTTATAAGTAAACAAACACGTGTGTCACTCGGGTACTGCCGCGGTAAAGCTATTATTATTATGCATAGCATTTTTTATCAACTTATGCAATTATAATTAGACAATAATAATTTAATATTAAAACAATAACAAAATAAGACCACGCTATATTTATAAACATTAACAAAAGCAAAACATTAACTTTCCACCTCACACTCATAAGCTAGACTGCGCGAGAGAGAGATCGGCAGACTTTTCGTGATACGCATGCAGTGCGACGTCACGCCGCACGCTTATTCACAAACACTACACAAGCGCAACGTGTGAATGTGTTGAACGCGAGCTACATGGTAGGCGGAGTAGGAGGTGTTAGATTTTATTTTCGTTACGGAATGTCTTGATTCGGTCGCCGCGCTCAAAGCCCACGATATAAGCTATGCAATAGCTTAAAAATAATACTTGAGTGAAGAGGACCAATACTCATGTCTTCGTATACTGAAATCTATGTTGTAACATAAAACTTACCTCCCGAAGCAAAGCGATGTATGCGATGGCGAGCCGCAGTGTATCAATCTTGCTGAGCCTCTTCTCGTACGGGAACGTCGGTACATGAACACGCAGCTCATCGAACGCCGAGTTTATACTGCTAAAGTCACAACATCACACACGCGTTTTAGCTTTTGTCAAGACATTTTGAAGAACACGCCTGTATTCTTTGTTTTGTCAAATAATTGTGAATTGTGCGATTTTAATCGATACTGATAGAGTATCGATTAAAATTTGCTTGTTTAATTGTAATGTTCTATTGCTTACTGTAATCATAGTTAAGATTACATTTCAACAAAATATATTCACTAGTTTTTACGTAATGAAAGATCGAAGACACAGGTAGTATATAAGGCCAGTACCTCCATACCTTAGTTCGACAAAGTAACATGTAAGTAGTTATTATGAGACTATACTACTCAGGATCGTTTGTCAATGTTTTCTAATTATATTTCTTATTAATTTATTTATTATACTGTATTATTATATTATCGTCGTGTAAATTTCGGGTAACAGCGTATTAAACGATTTCTCATACTTATTTCACTGGATTTTAGACTTGTAACTTTTTGGAACAGGTATATTGATATCTACAGCACATAGCAGCGGGCATTAGCATCCTGCTGTAATGAGTAGGTATAGCTTTTTCGTCCACTTTAATTTGGAATAATCTAGTTTAGACGTGCGAAAATACGGACTTGAAATTAGTAATAATTCTCCTGTTTACAGATTTCTTTTTACAATACAGATTCTAGATCTATCAATACCACGTATCTACATGAAACAGTCTAAATTGTTGAGGTACTTATTTCATTACGAACTACAAAAAAAAACTACGAAAGCCTTATCCCAACTCGTCAATGGAATGGTTACAAAAATATATCGTATCAAAATATTCTTGCTGTTTTGAGATAATCGGTTTAAACTTAGCAACTTTCACAGTGGCGACGGCGGCGGACCTGCCGACTATAGTTGAACATAGTCTTAGCGCAACTTTATACCAAACATAATTTACATTGACATTTAACACAAAGTTGACATTTAAAAATTCCAACAGAATATCCACTTACACACCGTTCTATTTTAACTTTTTACGAAACTATCGTTTTTGAATATAGAAACGGATGTTAAGACGAACTTCGGTCATGCAACAAACAAGCAAGGTACCAATTTGGTCCGGACCTCAGCATCCGTCGGCGTTCGCGTACATTTGCGGCGGCGCGTTGCACCCGATAAGGCGATCCTCCGCATTGGTAGTCGGGCTCAGCTGCAGCTTCCAGCAACGAATCTTTATACGTCACAAAAAAAAACTATGCAGTCAATTACGTGATTAAATTATCGAACAGTTTCGAGGTAGTCTTTGTTAGATAAAACTTAACAAATAAAAAAACGCTATCCTATTGTCTGTTGTCACTTTTTCGAATACAAGTTTATTTATAAGACAATGCAGTGAATGTTTTCTGCATTTCTGACTAAGTATGACGTGTTCGATTTTTGAACAAACAAATATCTAATAGGTACTTTAAGTAATTACGTATGTAAATACACGGTTGAGGGAATAACGTTATGAAAATTACCTGCCTTAAATTATTATACCTAATATGTACTTACTTTTGATTACTTGAAATTACTAAACACCTACATACGAAATTAGAAGCGCATCTTACCAACTATTATTCCAATAACTACTTATTGTCAGATTTCTAATAGGTTTTCTACACATATCGCAGGATATTAGATACGCTTCTGTCATATTTTTCACGTAATTCAGTTATAATTTTCGTCTTGTTCCAAAGGATAATCCGGATTTCCAATGCACTCATATCAAGCGCTGCAACGGTGTTCGACTCCCACAGACAAATACCAGTTTTTCCAATGAAATGCGTACTTAACAAATGTTCACGATTGACTTTCACGTAGAAGGTATAGCATCGTGTAATAAAAATGAAACCCGCAAAATTATAATTCGGGTAATTACTAGTGGTAGCACGTCTTGTGAGTCTACACGGGTAGGTACCACCACCCTGCCTATTTCTGTCGTGAAGCAGTATGCTTTTCAGTTTTAAGGGTGGGGCAATCGTTGCACTGTTAAAACTGAGACCTTCGAACTCATTTACGTTGTAGATGTTTATGGGCTCCGGTGACCACTTAACACCAGGATGGCCGTCATCTCGTCCACCTGTCTAAGCAATAAAAAAAACATAAATCTATGTCATAGAATACTTTTTTCTTTGACATACCTTTGTGTAGCAATTTATAGAATACACAAACACCTGACTGTGATTTACAAACGGGCAGACACGACCAAAGTATAGGTTTCCGCTTCTCTCATTTGACCACGGAAACGAAAAAAATAACTGCCGTTACAAAAACTTAGTTAAAGTTTGTGAGCCATTACCGTTTACAAGAACAAATAATTCCGATCATTAAAAACAAAATGATGAACGTATTAATACCAGGATGAAGTTGTCGGGTGTGTTGATGTACATATGCGGCCAAGGGGAGCTGGAGCCTCGACCTGGCCGCGGCGTAAACACACGAAGGCAGTTCCGAATGCAATGAGGCACTCTCGTCGTCCGAACCATCCACGTACGAAAACTTCAGACCAGAGTAGTCCAAACGACGACTGTCGCTGCCAAAAGATGATCTTATGGATAAAACAAAAGAATCTATATCTGTATATATAAAAATGAATTGCTGTTCTTTAGTCTCGCTAAAACTCGAGAACGGCTGGACCGATTTGGCTAATTTTGGTCTTGAATTATTTATGGAAGTCCAGAGAAGGTTTAAAAGTTAGATAAATAAGAAAATGCTCGGAATAAAATAAAAATAACAATTTTGTTTTTCCTTTGACGTGTTCCCCGTCGCACGTATTCCTTTTGTTTGTTTTAAGTTTATTTTAAAGCTTAGGTGTTTTATTTATCAATTGAGGCACTACGAAGTCTGCCGGGTCAGCTAGTAACTAATAAATATTTGCTTAATTCTGCTTTATCTATGGTTTGAGAACAGAGCCTAAGCTGTAAGTAAGTGTTAAGCGTAATTGGTGCGCACGATACAGGCTTACCTAGTATGAACTCCACGGATGTCCAAACTGTAATTTGGTTTCGGTAATCTTTGATTTTGTACCTGTATTCAGAATTTTTATAACAAAACGTACCTTCAGAACCAATGGAGCGGAGCTGTCGATATTTAACACGACAAAGAGTTTCATTTATATTTCGATAAAATTCTTGTTTATTTATTTACATTTTGCTGACTTTTTTGTTCGATTCATTATTTAGAATAGCCTACAAGTTTTAAAATTATTTCGAATTGTATTCCACAAAGATAAATCCGATAATTTTCCTTTGAAAATAATCTGTATGTTTCATTTCATTACACAGTCTCAGTGGCAATTTTTTTTTTTTGTCAGGATGAAATCGCCGGACTTCCGCCCTTCACTGGGGTGGAGGGCGGGGCATGTCGCAGTCGAACCGACTAAAACCTCCTGTCGCTCAAGAACCAGCATCCAAACCTCGCATGAGAGAGAGCTCATGAAAATGCAAAGGGGGGAAAGTGAAGCGCTTAGTGCGGAGCAAATCTCTCCCATCACCCTCCCCGTCGGGACGCCGGACCGGCGGTCGTCGGCGCCACGACCACCAGCCCTCTCGGTCGGCAGGCTATCCGAAGCCCGCCTAGATGAGCCATGCACCTACAGCAGTAATATGTCGAATATTTTCTACAATCTACATAAATGACGAAGATGAAAATTCTGTTCATTCTGTTTTTTTTTAAGTTGTCTTCTTATTACGTAATTTTGTTCAGTTTACTTAATCCCGCTTCGGTAAAGATTAGTAAAACATTTTATCGACATCAGTAAACCCTATATCGCATTCAGTTTTTCATATTCGCTGCATCTGAAAGCTGTTTCCGATCGCTGTAGTTTTTGTGTTTTCTTTTACAAAGCTTGTTTTGTAATTGAAACACCCAGTGTGGGGATAGCTCTAGGCGAACGAGAACGTCGCAGCACGTCGCTGGTTTAATAGCAGGTGATTAGTTATACCTTTTTTAAATATTATTAATAATAGGGGTTAAGGTATGAAATTGCCGTTTTATTGTAATTGGTACTTCGAATTGACATAGAACCTTCGTGGTTTGAGATTCTTAAATGAAACTTTTTTGAAATGGTACCTATGAGGTTCTTCTTTTAAAAAATGTGCAACATTCGATTATCGACTTTCAGATGTTTTTTTATTCAGCTTAGACAAGAAATTTGGATACTTCGAAAATTCGAGTGGTTTTTGAATACGAGTTCCGACGCGGAACTAACGCTGCAGAAACAGCTCGCAATATCAATGTTACCTTTGGAGAGGGGGCTGCTAATGAACGCACCGTGTGGTTTTGGTTTAAACCTTTTGACCCCAAAAAAATTTTGATTTGAAGAGCGTGGTAGAACACACACATGTGAATAACAATGAATTGAAAGAGAAGGTGGAAACCGATCCGAGCCAAACTATCCAGGAATTAGCTGCATGGTTCAACGTTACCTTACCAACAATATTGACTCATTTGCATCAAATCAATAAAATAAAAAAATATGAAACATAGGTGTCTCATGATTTGAGTGATCTGAAGAAAAAAACGCGTGTTAAAACTTGTGTTGCCTTGTTCAATCGATACATAGATGAAGGAATATTGGATCGAAATATAGCATGTGATGAAAAGTGGATTCTTTACGATAACCGTAAGTGAAAAATGCATGGCTGACCCCAGATCAAACGCCGAAATAGTGGCCTAAAGCAACGCTTACCAATTAAAAGGTAATGGTAAATGTTTGGTCTCAGCATAGTGTTATTCAATATAGCTTTCTCCGATCTGGTCAAGCAATAGTGTCAGATGTCTACTGTGCCGAAGTCCGAACAATGATAGCAAAACTTGCAAACAGCCCCGACTCATGAATCGATCTTCACCATTATTACTCCATGATAACGCGAGCCCTCATATAGCATGAGAAACCGTTTTAAGTCGACAGGAACTGCAATTAGAAACCAATCGTCACACTCCGTATTCACCAAACCTTGCTCCAATGGACTACCACTTTTTCGTGATTTGGACAATTTTCTACGTGATAAAAAGTTTTCTTCCCAGGAGGCACTACAAAATGCTTTCACACAATTTGTAGAATCCAGATGTCCATGACTCTATTGCAAAGGCATAAATGACCTTCCTATTAGATGGCAGCAATGTATAGATAATAATGGTAGATGTTTTGATTAAAAAAAACGAACCTCAATTTTTTAGTACAAATCGGCAATTTCATACTTTAACCCCTAATATGAAAGTGTGTTTGTTTGTCCTTCTTTTAAGTCGAAACGAAGAAACGGATTCACATGTTTTTTTAAAGTGATAGCATTAAGGACAGTGTGCAAGACACCATTTATTTCAATAAGACAGTTCTCACGGAAAGCTACACTGATACTGTGTCTTGTCCGCGCGAGCGAAGCCACGATTAACAGTTAGTAGGTATTTTAAATATGCGATATACATACCTAATGCAATTGTAAATTATATGTATTTATTTTAACAAGCTTAGAACGGTTAGTGTATTTTTTTTCTAAATATAAAATTCATTTTTTAAGTTTAGTAGTAAACATACTGTGAATCTGTATCGTGTGTTGGTTGTTTGGGAAAACAAACTTTTACTTGAGAGCACTTGCTAAAACCATATAAGTATGTATTTATACATACACCATTTTTTAAGAGAATCGAACTTCTGTGTTTTAAAAATATTGAGTACGAACAAAAAACCATCCAAAAATGTAACATTAGATAAACAAATTAATTTATCATTTAAAATTATGGAGCGTATTATTTTTATTTTACTTAATGTTTAAAATTATTAACATTTACGCGACATTCCGTAAATTGTATTAAAAACATTTTTGTCGAGCCACTTTTCTACGATGGCTAATAAGATTTGTAAAATAAACATACACATATGTATATTATTAATGTTAATAATTAAATAAGTAGCAATAACAAAGTTCTATCTATATTGAACGACCCCAGCTAGGATTTTCTCCTGCATTGGTAGGTGCTGGGAAACCCTGTAGATGATTGAAAAAGTGATAGAAAATAACTACGAAAACTTACCTTGACTGACCTAGACCGCATGGTGCTGTAATTAAGTTCACTAATGCTAGACCACGTAGACGTGATTGAAATTTTAAGTAAATTACAGGGAGTCTTTTATCCTAAATATATAAGTATTATAAACAAGCCGTACTTCGCTGGGCTTTTAAAATTAACATTATTATTTATTGTCATTATTATTAGCCTATCCATTAAGTACGTGTATTTTCTATATGGATACCAAGTTTAAAGTCAATCGGATGCGTCGCTCAGTGGTTATAACGGAACATTCGTAAAAACCACTGTAGATTTATATACTAGTATAGATTAATACTATAAATATATAAGGTATACAAGGTAAATATCCAATATAAACTAAATTATTTCAAAAGTAATGAATAAATAAAACAGGATACCTTAATGGTGGAGAAGTCGATGAATCAGCGAGCTGGGTCCTTGCGCCAGACATTTTGAGAGCCACTATTTTCAAAAACACTCAATCACTGACGAAAATTGAATGAGCCTAAACCAGACTTGTGGGACAACTTTATACAATTAAAGACAGCCACCCGTTAAGCTTGTGTTAGGGAAGTTAGACGTTTTAGTAAAATAGGTCGTATTTGTTATAAAGAGATCTGAAAATGTATTAGCATGGTATTTCGACTGTTCGGCGGTGTGCGTGTCATCCCCAGTGGCGGGGTTGGTCCTTTAAACAGTTGGGGAAGAAATGGGCGGGGCAACTGAAGTGTCTGCATAGAGGGGCTAAAACAAAATTTATTCATTTATCACCCATTTTTTAATTTTTCCTAAATACACGTCTTTTTTGGTATAAATATAAAATGCGTCGTCTTTGTAAAATAAAATTTCAGTCTAAAAAATTAATGAATCTAAATAACCGTCGTGAACTAGTGTGTATTAACTAACTTCGAGATTGTGTTTTTCATGTGAATATAAACGTAAACAAATTCTTTTTACCGAAAAGAACACGTCAGTTTTCAGCAACTAGCTTAACGTTTCTTTGTTATTTACGTCTTTTTTCACGAGGCACCAGCAGAGTGGGAGTGTCACTGGATCGATGTGTACTCTTCTCCCTCATTGGTGGACCCTGGTATGTTTTTGACAGGCCTAAAAATGTTATAAAACGCAGCTTCTGTCAAGTGCAGAGGTGCTGTGAAATCGAGTGTTGTTTTTTTTAATTCATGTGGTTACCAGACTGTCACAAAACTATGTATAAACGTTTACTGAACAGAAATTTTTATTCTGTGTAAAAGTTTAAAGATGATGAAATTTTGAATTAATTTCAAAATTTATCGAGAAACATGGGTATCATTATTAAGTTATCACGTATTTTATATCACGGGCCTTTATTTATATATTGTTTAGTTTACCTTCTCTTGGAAAAAAAAGACTTCAAGAACTAAGTGTAGATATATTGTAACTTGCAAAGGGATCTTAAAAAAAAGTTATTTGTTTATTAGCTAACATATAAAACAGCTGTAAGAGATCCACTACAACCTGAATAACTGTCCTTTTTGTGTTCCACCATATATACAAGACTATAGGTTGAATTGGATTGGAATGACGGCTGTCCAAAACGGTTGCCTAATGGCAGGAATGCCCTACCCTATGCATGCCCTACCACAGGCACGTAACGCAGGAAATAGAGGAGTAGGTAAGTAAGCGGTGAGAGACTACTACGACGATCGGTCGATAGTACTATAATGGCTACAAATGAAACATGAACTTTCAAAATCAATCACGAATCGAATTGAGGTCGCATAGGTTATTTGAAAATTTAGTAAAATTCAGGATAATATTTAAACTTCTAGACTCGATCTGATTTTTGAGATCATTCGATAGTGAAATCTTTAATTAACTGTTCGCTCAGTGAGTGTACTCACTGAGCGAACAGTTTCCTAATACCTACCTCTAATCTAAATTATAATACTCCCAAGCTAAATTTTTATTCGGCAACATCTCTTTTGGCTAGTTATGAATACGTAAATGTGTTTTTTGGTGTATCCCCGATGGAACTTCATATTGACATTATCGTTACCGGCCAAGATGTTATCTCTCTGTAGCGTTTTCAAACCTACTCTCTCATAACGATGAGCTCATCAAAACTGTGTTCTTGACTGCGTATTCGTTCACATCAACTGACAAATTTCACACACTATCCATTAGATTAACTGTATGTACTTAGACACAACACGAATATTTCGCTATGCCTATAAATTAGCGAGTCACCCTTTCATAAACAAGCAATTTCGGCAACGACCATAATTTGGCGCTAATTCCGTATTCGGAAGTCATGCCCTAGTCCACCCTGTAATTGATTTGTCGCGGCAACTGGCGACCCTAGAACCTAGGCACGTGCCTTACGCGTGACCCACCCCGCCCACGGGGACCATGTTTGATAGTTTTTCGCGTGAGATACCCCGTCGGTTCTCATTTGTCTTGCGGATTCTTGTGTGTGTTCTATTCTAAACGACCACGTTACTGGGGATGATTATTCTGTAAATAGGAAACTTCGTGTTTTTGCTGTATCTAAGAATTATTGTTTTACTTATAAAGCGTTTAAGGAAGTTGTCGTAACAGTACGATACTGGAATGAACTAACGTTTCAAATTTTCTCACCCGGAATGTTTCAATAAAGTGTCGATACTGAAATCGATAATTTGTAGTTTAATTTTGAATATAAAAAAACAGAAAGTCTGAACAAAAAACCACATCGGATTTGCTTAATTTATTTATTTGGCTGCATATGCTCGATGGAGATTATCCAACGAGTGCACACACGTGGTTTGTAGTTCCTTTGTACTGCAGGCCGCGTGGCTAAAGGTCGCGTGCCGGAGCCGCGTGCGACCCGCGACCGACACGCGTCCCTCAAAGTGCCCGGAACATGTATCGACGCCTTCACCAGAACATTCTACTGACAGCACTTAATTAATTCGTATCGACATTATTTATAAACACTCAAACTTAAATCGATTACTTTTTTTGCTTTGCTTATCAAAAACCGAATCGTTTTAATTTTTTTTTTTCGAAGGACTTAATGTCATTTACTGTAACACTTTTAAATGGGATTTTTCGATATTATGAATATTTAAAATAAAAATTTTCAGCCGTAAAAATATCAGAGTTACTGATATGCTTTAACTTATCAAATCTTGGCAAACTGGTTTTAAATTGACTTCAGATATACAGTTATTTGAAATACCAGCAATACATAAAATAAGTAAAAAAGATACCTACAGAGAATTTTTTAATAAATGTAGTTGAGAATAAAAAGTTATGGTTTAAACTTGACTCCAATTTTCTTAAATTTCTGTATGTTAAATTAAAAAATATACATCTTTTTGCAATACGGTCATTTATCATTACTTATAGTCACTTAAAATTCAAAATATTCTGAGTACTTAGACAAAAATCTGATCGAATCAATAGATCGGAAACTAAATCGCTCTCATTGTTAAACCCCAACCCGTATTTATTTTGTGTTTGTTGTATTTAAGCATTTATTATACGCAATTATTAACAAGACGTCAACAGACTGATGCTCATCATTGTAGTGTATACTGCGGTTCTCAAATTTTGGAAGGTCAATATTAAATATAAACTGTAACCGTAAAATGCCATATTTTGGTTTTTTAAGTTTTCAAGATTTGTTCACATTAAAATATAATGAATACTTATGCTTAAATGCTGAAGCCTACTCTACTCAACCACCAATGTTAACATTATTTGTCTGATTTTGGTAATATGAACAATCTAACAAAATCCTTCTGAATATTTGTCGATTCTATTACTAGATTTAAATTTTTATTTCTGTTACATAATTACTACACTTTGAACTTTAATCAATGATTAAATTATTGATGGGTTTATATGGAACAATAATTCATACAGCTTAAGGAAAAATTCTACGCAGGCAGCTAAAGTTTGACAGTCACTGTCCCGACCCCATTTTGAAGTTGAATCGTCACGAGGGTTAGTTTAGGGAACGCGAAACCCCTCGTATGTCCGACCCTGTAAGTCCTATGGGAACAACACACAAATTAACCAGAACTAATTGTTTAATGTGTTAACGTTCTTCGAATAAACAGATTGCACAGTTCGAGTGGTAGAGCTTCCCTGCGTGGCGATGACGGCATGTTCTTGAATAAAAATACAGCTCTTAATAGTCCTTATTCTTCTTCTTCTTCTCCGTCGCTCCCTCATTGCTGAGGATCGTGACTCCGTTTCAGCTTGTCGACTGCCAGTCTCCATCGGTTCCGGTCAGTTGCCTGGTGTAGTGCAGCGCTAAGTGGTCCGCTGGTTTTCTTATAGTCCTTATAAATACATTAAAATAAATAGCAGTGTAAAAAAAAATATTTGTTGTCGCTAGTCGACTTAAAGTAGAAAATACTTTTTTTATGTGTTCATTTTATAGTGATGTAAAGTTAAAATAAACCTCATGTTAAAAAAAATTGGGATGATTGTACTTGATTTACTGATGGTAGGACCTCTTGTGAGTCCGCACAGGTAGGTACCACCGCCCCGCCTATTTCTGCCGTGAAGCAGTAATGCGTTTCGGTTCAAAGGGTGGGGCAGCCGTTGTGACTATACTGAGACCTTAGAACAATATCTCAAGGTGTGTGGCGCATTTACGTTGTAGATGTCTATGGGCTCCAGTAACCACTTAACACCAGGGGGGCTGTGAGCTCGTCCACACATCTAAGCAATAAAAAAATATATTGATTTAATCCATTGTATTGAAGTGAGTGAAAATCACATTCAAAGATTTCATTACAGACACGGAGGCGAAAGTATTACTATAAAATTATTTATTTTACCGAAAACAAATTTAAGTAGGTACAGCATAGTAAAAAAAATGTTACGAACGTTGACCAGTACCTACATGCGTAAGAAAAAAAAAAACATTAAATAAATAGTTCGGAGCTGTATTATATATAGTATGTTATTTGAAGTAAATATATTTGAAATTAGAAGACCTTCGATTCCTTCAGAATCATTACTAAATCTAACATATAATCCTGTATCTAAATTATTGAGTATTAGATATGAAAATATTTTTGTATGTGGCCTTGAAAGATTACACTATATTAAGTATTATATGGAGTTCAACCTGTGGTGCCATCGTCATTTCCACTTCAAGGACATGGATAGGAAAACTAAAATCATATTAAACATTCTAAAATCATAAACTTTATTAAATTAAAACTTAAAATCTAATTGTCTTTTTGTTGTATTGTTGGTTTTTCCGGCATTTTGATCTCTTCAACGGCAATATCCTCCTCTGTGCTCGATTTGTGATCCACGTACTTGTATCTGAACGCCATCGCCGTGAAAATGAACATGTCCAATAACATAAGACCGGCGAACAAGAAGAATTCTTTCCACTGTAATAAAATAACATAATTAGATTAGCTTTCATTTTAATACGCTTTTATTAGCTTCAGACGTAGGTACGTATGTTTGTAACGGAACCTTTGAACATGATTTTAACCCCCCGTCGGATTAACTCGAAATTTGGTATACATACTTTTTAAGAACCGATGACAATTCAATATAAAAAAATATTGAAAAAATTTAAATTCAACTAAAAATGAAAAATAAATAATAGTTAAAAAAACCTAAGAAAATACGCTATTATAGAAAAACCAACTAAAAATAAAAATAAATTTTAATAATAAATTTGAATTATAGTTTGTTTTTGTTAGTATTTTGTTATTATTATCGTATTTTGTTAGTTTTTTAAACTATTATTTATTTAAATTAAGATATTGTTAAGTTAAGTTTAGATTAGTTATTGTATTGGTAGGCAGCGGCTTGGCTTTTCCCCTGTCATTGCTGCAGTCCATGGGCGACGGTAACCACTCACCATTAGGTGGGCCCTCTGCCTACAAGGGCAATAAAAAAATCCAATGTAAACTGAAATTATTAACATGCGGTTCACTAATTCAAAGTTGACTTTTTTGTTACCTGAGCATCCAAAAAGTTCCCTTCCACTATGAGAACAACGATCAAATTTCCAAAAGCGACAGTGAGAAGCCAGACCGATTGTAGTACAGACTTCATACTAGCTGGCGCTTGTGTGAAAGAGAACTCTAAACCAGTTACTGAAAACATCACTTCGCCCATAGTCATCACAACGTACTGAGGTATCAACCAGAGAATGTGTATACTATTTGGTGGAGTTATAATCACTGGATTTGCTTGCTGTAAAAAAAGATTCAAGTAGATTATACGTTGAATAATTTCCTCATCTAAAATTCAAAGTAACGACCTGTTTATATTGTTTTCTATCATCAACATCCTTTCGTTTTTGAGCTGCTTTTAAAATTTAAGTCCAATTCAATTATTTTGTGAAGGCATTAAGAAACAAAAAACTAAGTAACATCCCATTGATGTATTTAGTAGTAAGTCGTAGTAGTATTTAGTAGTGTTGGCAGTTCACCTCGATGATTGTGAGGAACCCATAAATACCACCATCCACGTGAATATCACCAATAAACTTAGACATCAATAAGTAATTACTAATATTGCAAATGAGAAAGTGAGTTCTGAATTTGTTTGTCACGTTTTAGCTACTCAACGGATCAGGAGTTCAGAAAAAAAGAAATAAGGGACTATTTATTGCCGAAAAAGCACTATTCTTGAGGGATTATTTCTATATTAACACAAGCAGACACGCCGTCAAAAGCTAATATAATTTTATAATGCAACTTCGCAGAACGCGTTGGAATTGATTTTAACTGTTAAATTGGCTCAGTCCTTTGACCTCTGTCCATCAATAAAAACTTACATAAGCACCGTCCGTGTCTTCGTAAACATTGATAGTGTAGACTGCTCCAGATTTAAATGCATATCCTTCTAATACTTTTTGGTCGTTCACTAAAACATCGCCATTGCCCTTGGTGATCTTCACCTGACTGATATCATCGCTTTGCAGTGACAGTTTAGTTTTGTTCTTCTTTGATTCCACGATTGCAACGGTCACCGAAGTTTGGACGTTTGACAAAAACCTGTACAAAGAACACAAAACTTAATCGAATAAAAGTAAAATACTTTGTGTTTGTGTGAGTGTGTGTGTGTGTATGTAAAAATTTAATTAAATCTGAAAACTTGCGAATAAAACAAGAGCGACGATAATTCAATCGAAGAAACATAAAATGAAATTATAACTTGATAATGCGTCAAGAAGTAGTAACGTTACGTATGCATGTATTGAATTTGCTTTTTTCAATCTTCACATTTTTTGGAGCGGAATGCTATAAAGTTCGTGTCAAAGTTGAACAGGGAACGATCGTTGGTATGAGTCGGTTGACCGTTTTTGATGGCAACGTTTATTTCGCGTTTTACGGAGTACCGTACGCTGAAGCTCCGGTAAGGGAATTGAGGTTTAAAAATCCAAAAAAACTGAAGAATTGGAAACGACCTCTCGACGCAAGTGTGGAGTATCGAGGCGCGTGCCCTCAAGCGCACATAGTTCACAAGTACGCACTGTATGGATACGAAGATTGTCTCCATCTAAACATTTACACGCCAAACATTCCGAAATCGGGAGACAAATTAAAAGCCGCACTTGTGTGGATCCACGGATACGCTTTCGCATCAAGCTTCAGCCAGTTACACGGACCAGACTTTTTTATAGACAATAATGTGATTGTCATTACACTTAACCATAGAATTGGCGCATTTGGTTTTGCGAAACTGAATAATTCAGATACGCATACAAATATGGGTCTAAAAGATATAGTAGTTGCATTGAAGTGGATAAAAAAAAACTTGAAGTCGTTTGGAGGTGATAAAAATCAATTGACCTTAATGGGTAGTGGGTCCGCTGCGACGCTTATATCTATGTTATCGACAACTAAACATAACAACTTATTCTCGAAGTTAATATTACATAGTGGAGCGATGTTTTCGCCGTCACTTTTAAAAAAAGACCATGTTTCAGAAGAAAGAAAATTACGAAAGGAACTGAAGAAACTTGATATGAAAAATTTAGAAAATGCTTCAACAAAAGATATTGTTCAAGCTGCAAGTAAAATTTATAGTAGGAAAGAAATAACCGACCATCAACGGCCTTTGATACCTTTTCTACCTATCGTTGATAGAAATGTTAAGAAAACCTTATTTTTGAAAACACCATTCGAATATTATGAATCTGAAGATAAGAGTCAGGGATCTAAACCGATTTTGATGGGCTTTAACAGCCAAGAATGTATTTCAGAAGCTATACCTTTCCTCCATAACGCAAAATTATTGAATTCAATGACAAATTCATTCAAATTCATTGTTCCATTTCACGATGGATGCATTCACAAATATGGATCAGAAGCATACGTTCAAGTTGCGAATGAAATAAAGAAAACATATTTTAATGTTACGATTTCTGAAAATTCTCTTGGAATGTTTTTAAAATACGTTTCTGATTTACATGTGTATCCTATTTTCAAATTTGTTAAAACTCATTACAAGAAATTTAAAAATAACGTATTCCTTTATAAATTCAACTATGAGGGCTACTTCAATGCATTCAAAGCGACATCGATAGGTGAATCGAATGCAAAAGTCAAGGGAGCCTCAAGCGGAGATGAAATTTGCTATTTATTTAATTGCGAGCCACTGGTTGATGTTTACGTAAAAGTAAACAAAGATGAAAAGCACAGAGATAGAGTGTTTATTAAGAAAATAACTGAACTTTGGTCTAATTTTGTGAAACATGGTGATCCAACACCGCCGAACTTTAAAGGGGAGATCACTTGGCCTCCGGTATCCGCAAATAAATATAACATGCTGCTAATAGGAAATAAATTTAGAATAATTGAACCAAGAAAGGAACAAGAAATGTTTTCCTTTTGGAGTGATATTTATGAGAAGTATTTTAATCCGAAAACTTGTCATAACTATCACCATGATGAATTATAAAACTACGTAAAATGATTTATAGATTACAAAATGTATTTTAATTATAATTAATTAATTTATTTTAATTTTGAAGGAACGTGAGTTTGTGATCAATGGACTGAAAATAAAAGTTACACGTACAATAAAAGTTCAAACATTGAAATAATTACCTAACGCTTACTCCGTTGATTGCTTTGTCATTATTATCAGTGAAGTTAGAAATTCCCTCCCGATTAATGAAGAAAGAGTTAGCAGTATTTTCTTTTAAATAGAAATTTCCATTGTACACGATATTCGAACAATTTCCTTCGCCACGTACATAATACGGCAGTTCAATAGACCCATCTGCGTTAATATCCAGATGCTCATAGACCGAAAGTGGTCCAATAGTATGAATATTGTTATTGTTGGCGTTGAAATCTCCTGTGTTGATTGTAAAATTACAGTCAAATCCGTTGTACACTCGGAGTTGAGCCAACCCTTCCGATACCGGAGTACCGTATGTAGGCTGAAAATATTTAAAAAAAAACACAAACATGAACATATGAACTGGATTTTATAAAAATTAATATTAATCGAAATTTGTATAAAAATATATATACCAAAAGATTTAATTCAACTATTCCTGAAATAAGGAATGCGCAAGCTGCTAATATTCCACCCCAAATCATTTTGTGTAGCGGTTTCTTTATCAGTCTGCACCAAGTTAGGAATGGATAAATTGCCTGAAATAAAACTTAGTAAGTTCAAAGAAATCTGAACGCGAAATAATTTTAAAGTTAACGATCATGACTCGTGGTTGATTGAGTTATTTGACTTACCACTTCAAAGAGAGGAATAAATATTAAGATCAGGAAAGGATTGAGGACTTGCATCTGATCAGCTTTAAGCGTCCAGCTACCTATGTCTTGTTCCATCCTGTCAGCTTGGAAGGTCCATCTGGAACCCTGACAAATAGCAAAGATATTCAACTGTACTTTTTTTACTATTTCTTATTTTGTTTATTTAAAAATAAATAAATAAAATATGAATATTCAAAATGTGTTTTTAAAATACCTGCTGATCAAAAAGTGCCCAAAATACTGGTAGAGGAATGAATAGCACCAAAACCCTGAACAGCGACTTTATATCCTCGATTAGGCTCTTGTCATACTTCTCGTCAGCGTGGTCCAACCAGTGGTCTCTCTTCTGTTTGTTTTTGATGGATTTGACCACAGCATGCTGAATGTAATAAAATTTAATAGCATTAATTTTTTGATTATCTGCAAACAAATAACCACGCCTAAGTTTTTTTCTTAGAGCTTGAGTCAATTCGAAAGTACTTTTCAATATGAAGTAATTATATTATTGTAGTTTAGTAAGTACCAGTAATAGCTTTTGTAAAGCTATATGGAGATTATGATCTTTATTCTATTGTTTCAAAGTGTAAGTTTATTTCTTAGGGCTCGAGTCAATTTGAAACCACTTTTCAATATGACGTAATTATATTATTGTAGTTTAGTAAGTACTAGTAATAGCTTATGTAAAGTTATATGGGGATTATGATCTTTATTCTATTGTTTCAAAGGGTTTTTCAAAGTAAGTATATACTGAGTAGCAGTTTTTGCACTAATATTTCAATCAACCGTTTTTATATAAATGTAATCTGATTGAAATACTCATTATACATACATATTTTATAATTAGCATTTCTGATATTTTTATTTTAGAGTGTGATTACTTTTTATTTTTTTTATTTTATGTATATAAGAAGAACTTACGTTGGTTATTAAATCGGAATATAAGAGATGTACCTATTTATAACCTGGTATTTCTTGTGTAACCCGTGGGTAAAATAATTCATTAAGCTATTAAATTATTATTGCTATCAATATGATTTATAATGTTGAGATTTAAGATGAGATTTAAAATGTAACACGTAAATTAAGTTTCCGTAAAAACTTAGGCAAAAGTTTAATAATCGATCTTTTCGCCAAAAGCCAGTGAGTGATCTTTTAAAATATGACTGACTTTTAAAATATGTACTATGTGTTAATTGAGACTTCGGTTTTATTTTTCGTTTTTGGGTCCGGTAAAAACTGAACACCTTGCTCATTCACCCATCTGTGAAATATGGAAGTACATACCCCAACACACGTCGACACCTTCCCTAGAACATTTCCTGATGGATTTTTGATTACATACAATCTTCGACCAGCGACGAAGATCACTGAAAACATTTTGATACGCACTATAATGATTATCTTTGTATTAAAATCTTCAAATTCTATGTAAACCATCTATTATGAGGATTTATTTTTGATCAATAAAACGAAATAATGTTATTTTTAATTAAATTTTAAATCCATACGGTTATTTTTTTGTTTATTATTATTAAATAAATTATTCAAATTCAATGAATAACTTACAAATCGAAACCACCATTAGAATCCCTGGGACTCCGAAAGCCAATGAAAAGCAATCACTGTCTCCAAAACAGTGAACGTCAGCTCTCAGAATCGGAGTCAAGAAGGTGGAGATCAAACTACCCGCGTTTATTGCGAAGTAGAAGAGAGAAAAATAGTAGCCGAGATATTTTGCCTGCTCTGGTAGCTTGAATTGGTCTCCTCCGAAAGCAGACACACAGGGCTTAATACCTCCCGTTCCGAAAGCTATCAATAGTAACGCCAATATTGTGAGTTCACTGAAAAAAAACCGATTGTGACTCTTTTTTTTTTAAATAAAGTATATAATCTATGTATTTATGTTTTTGCGAAATCTCTTGCGAATTTTTATCGAAATCGTGCCAATTTCTGATCAGTTGAGGTTTTAGTTTTTTTGTGAGCACACAGGAACACATAGTACTTGTGTAGAGACTGTTGATTTTCTTTATAAACAGTTTCTCTTTTTTTATGTCTGAAATTTAGAGTCAACGTGTTAGCCGTTACCAAAATTAGTTATTGATATAGAATTTGCACAAATTTAATTTTGATTTTTAGTACATAATTATACATGTCTATTGTGCAACAATTCAAATTGCTTCTATACAATATTAAAGTCGATTAGTAGAATAATGTTGTACTTTTTTTTCCCCTATGCTGATAGCTTTACCCAAGCGTGTAGGTGAGCTCTCGCGACTTAAGCCGGAAGTGTTGGTAACACTGGCCCTAGCAAGAGCAGTGCTTCGCAGAATTTACTACTGGAACGGAAACGCGGTCCACTAAGAAGATCCGGCGAGAAACTCAGTGGACTGTGTCTATGGGTTAATTTACTCGTCGAGGCCTTCGTCGCAAGCGATAGATTCGGCGAAGACGGTAACCGGTGCTTGAGGTACCTAAAGGCACCGTTAATGGATCGGAAGGATCCGTAATGACGTATTTAAGGCGACGTCAACTGTTTACCATTCGATCCACAGGATCGGGTATGATGTTGTGCTGTGATTGCATTTAATTAATACATCATATCAGTAATGTTCGAGGGTCTTCGTGATAATAGGTTGTTTAGTCAAGTTAGTGATCCCACACTTCTTTACCAGCTTTCCTACGAAACTTTGAACCTTAAGTACCTACTCATGATAGGATGTCAGGTTCAAGTGATTGATGTCAAAGAGCTCTGGTTAGTTCTTAACACCAGATGGAGCATTAACACATCTTCCCAACCACGATAGTTAAAAAAAAACTTACAACTGCGGCAAGCCGATAGGGGGCATAGCGGTCAGCGAAATTAGAACACTACCCGTAGCGTAGACCAGTGACAAATAAAATATGGTCCTGTAAAAAAAAACGGAATACATTAAAAACTACATAGTAAAACCTGCTTTAATAGAAAATCGAAATTTAAAAAAGAATCGAGGTCATTGACCGTTTTACTGAACTACTTGAATGTGTAATTAAAACTAGTTTAATTTCACTTTAATTTCATTGTTATTGTATTATTTCCGAAAACTCGTACAATGTACTGTTTTCGTGGTCAAGGACGACTTATTACGACGGCTCGCGAAAATGGAGGAGTATTTTACATGATTGCAGTTTATATTTCTCGACAAACTTTCAGAAAATATAAAATAATTCTATTTTAAATCGAAACTGAGGTAAGAGTAGTTAATTACCTGAATCTTCCGAGCCATCCATCGGCAATCATGGCTCCGAGAACCGGGAAGAAGTAAGCAAACATCGTGAACACGTGGTAGATGACTGTGGCGTCATTATCTGTGAAGCCCAGTTTGTCTCGAAGGTACAAAGACAAAATTGCTGCAAAAAAAAAAAATTTAAACATCAGTGTCAACGATCGCAAGGTCGAGAAAGAAGGTCAGTTGTTTTACGTAAGCTTTTTATCTTTTATTTGTTTCTGTCTTTGTTTTTTGTTTTTTTTTAAATAGCTAAATCTTAAGTAATTCAAGGGCAACCTAAACCCAAGTCATGAACGATGTGAATGCATTGTTTATAAGCTACCAACCGTGAACACCTATGAACATGAGCGTTACTTATGCTAATTTTTTGGAGATCTGCAATAATCGAATTTGTCGAATTCATTGTTTTGCCGGGCATGTTTCATCTGTATTTGTAACTGTTGCAATCGTTGAACGTGAAAACAACCTACTTAAATAAATGGCCAAGAACATTTTATTGCGAGGAAGACTTGGACTTATGTTATGAAATTAAATTCGTAATAAAAAAATGTTACTTAAATAACCTGCCTATAATTACTGTTTTTAATTTTCTGTTATTGAATAGTTATAGATATAAGAACTCTTCTTGACTTGACGTAATTACGGCGGTCGTTTTGCGTTATGGATATTTCCTTTTCAATTTTAGTTCGCATGCAACTTTTTATTGCAATCAAAGGCTGTAATGTAACATTTGTAAATGGACTTGAAATGATTGGATCCGGAATTATCGATACTCAGTCCAGTTCGATTATGAGTTTTTTGCTATTAAAGCTATGCAGACACTCACGGACCACCTGGTTAGATGATTAGTGGAATACATAAGAATCAGTAAATGCCACCCACCCAATGACATGGGGTCTAAATTTGAATTGTATATCATAACACACGTTGCACCGTTCAAACCGGACGTTTGATTGCTTCGCGACAAAAATGGGCGGGATAACCATAAGATAAGCTAGGAGACCCATAACCTTGCCGTTTCACAATGCGCCTTACCAGAAAGTGGTCGTTGAAGATCGCATATCTATTAGTTTAATCACATTTTTAGTTTAAAATAAATTAATAATGTTTATTAATACTGTTGGATAGGTTGACATTAAAATATAACAAGAGGTGGGAAAAAAAATTATTAATATTTTTTTTCTCGATAACAAAGTAGAATATGATAGTCGGATATACAATAATTTAATACGTACGTTAAAATTGAACACAAAAAAGCAGGCATGGTTCAAATGTTCAGATAAAAAAAAAAACGCAATTTGCAAACAATTAGGTAGTCGATAATGTTTCATTAAATATTTTAGAATAAGAAAATAAATTAAGTAAATTTGTTTTGTTGACCAGTTTTCGCACATATTACAAACATGTTCTCCATTATTTGTTGTATAATCTATACTAATATTATAAAGAGGAAAGATTTGTTTGTTTGTTTGTATTGAATAGGCTCTGAAATTACTGAACCGATTTGAAAAATTCTTTCACTGTTTGGAAGCCACACTATGCCTTAGGGATCTTTACTAAAACTCCAATAATGTAACCCAAGGTGTATAAATTGCCTAAAATATTCGTTACATCGCGTGCCCTGCGAAAGCTATTGATGATAGAATAAAATAATGTAACACGACTTTATAGAACACATTATTTACAAAAAGTGTCGCGGTAGCAAATGTCTAAGTATTATACTTATGCCACAATAAGTGTTCTTTTAGTTAAGAAAATAAAACAACGTCAAATATCGTTGACATTTTTGTTAAAGACCCAAGCGGATCCGGATCGGGCTGCTAGTTGTTATTAAATACAGAAATAGGTCGATTGAGATCGTTGTAAACTCAAGTACATACGTCTGATTACCCAAATACGTGGTGAAATCGGTTGCGACATACAGACAGATAATACCTGCTTGTTAAAGCTATACTGGATAATGCATTCAATTGAACATGCAACGGCGACACATGTTATTTGCCACAAGTTGGAAATAATTATTGTACACGCGTACATACCAAGTGCAAATGTTCAGCTTCAAAGATTAACAAGGGTATAATTTTTTAATCGTATTAATTAATTTTTAAACACTTTACGTAATATGAGAAATGTATTTAATTTTCCGTTGACATTCAATTTATTGCAAAAATAACATATTCAAATAAATAAATAAATTGGAATAATTGATTTAAATAGATAATATATTATGAATATGTAATTATTTCGGTGATCTATTGATTTGACTGGTGGTAGGACCTCTTGAGAGTCCGCGCGGGTAGGTACCACCACCGTGCTTATTTCTGCCGTGAAGTAGTAATGCGTTTCGGTTTGAAAGGTGGGGCAGCCGCTGTAACTATACTTGAGACCTTAGAACTTATGTCTCAAAGTGGGTGGCGCATTTACGTTGTAGATGTCTATGGGCTCCAGTAACCACTTAGCACCAGGTGGACTGTGAGCTCGTCCACCTATGTAAGCAATAAAATAAAAAATAATCAGTTTGTATGTTATGCTTAAATATATTTATATATACAAATCTACAGACATTGTTAACAGTGCTTTGAACAACTGCAATACCAACGATTGTAAATATGTTTAGTTTTAACAGATTGTTGTAATTCCGTAAATACTATGACAACTTACATCTTCTCAATGACTTGAATGACTAAAAACATTATTACGCAGAGAACAAAATAAATAAATAAAAACTTACTTCGCATTCCATAATACGAGAATCTCTCACAAAACTCATTTGTGACTATGAACGCTACTGCTTTTGGATACGGTAGTTTCTGAAACAAAGAAATAAATAGTAATTTATATTGCTTTTACAAAATGATGTGAAATGCGATTTGATAAACAGCGTCAACATTTCTTATATTCTAAATAAAAGTGCTATTTTTTTCGCCCTAAAACAGGGACCATTTTATTTCAAATAGCTGACCCGGCAGACTTCGTAGTGCCTCAATCGATAAATAATAAATACCTAACCTAATACTTAAACTTTAGTATAAAATAAACTTAAAAGAAACAAAAGGAATCCGTCCGATAGGGGACACATCAAAGGAAAAACAAAATTATTATTTACTAGCGACCCGCCCTCGCTTCGCTTCGGAAACATTAAAACACACATGAAACCAAAAAAAAAAAAAAAAATAATAATAAAAAGTAGCCTATGTTCATCAGGGACAATGTCGGCTTCTAATGGAAAAAAAATTTTTCAAATCGGTCCAGTAGTTTCGGAGCCTATTCGAAACAAACAAACAAACAAATCTTTCCTCTTTATAATATTAGTATAGATATTTAATTCCGAGCATTTTTATATTTATTCAACTTTTAAACCTTCTCTGGATTTCCACGAATAATTCAAGACCAAAATTAGTCATATCGGTCCAGACGCTCTCGAGTTTTAGCGAGACTAACGAACAGCAATTCATTTTTATATATATAGATTAGTTTTCAGACGGCATATTTCGCGCTAAGGTATGAAAAGCTATTTCTCGTAAATAGTGCTTTTTCTTGTTGAAAGGTACCCTTTTCTCTATCCCTAACAATGTACATGTGCAAAATTAAATGATGAATGATCGGTCGAGCAGCTGAGACGTGAAAGCGTTACAAACAAATAAACTCACTGTTCCATTTAAAATATGCCTGTCTATTTGTTCATAGGTATGTTAAGTTTGATTCGTTTACGTATTACATTAAACTAGAGGTCCCGCAGTAGTCGAAATTCGACTATAATTAATTGGAATTGTAGTTTGTACACTATTATGATTGTGTTTTATACTTAAATTTACCAAGACTACACTATAAAAAATAATAACAAAGACAAACAGTATTTCATCTCAATTTGACAACAGACGTCAAGAACAAAAGTTTGACAATAATAGTATGCATGCGTGTGTGCGACGTGCGTCAAATACATGGTATGTAGTGTGTGTAATATTTTCTTTATTGATTTAAAGTATCTATTATGCATCATTTTAAAAAAAAAATTAGCGTTGTGCACTTCTTCTCTATATTCTCTATAAGTGTGGAAAATTTCATACTCCTCCGTCCGCGCAATTTTCGTAAAAAGGGATACAAAGTTTTTGCTTCACGTATTAATATATAGATAAAAAACAACTAGTTTGTAAGATAGGGCGGTATTTATACAATACAAATGATATTTCGAGTTCTTTTCATAAGGTGGGTGACTGCATTCACGCGGTGTGTGTCTATAAACTGAAAACACTTCACACCAGATAGGCCGTGGGTTCATTCACCCTAAAGTATAAAATAAAATTACTACTCTACCTGAACACCATCTGAAAAATCATACATACGTTTTCCACAAACACCCATGTATAATGTATATTATTATTAATGATAAACGAAAAAAACAACAACAACAAAACTTTTTTAAACCAGACTTTTTTAACTAGTGTTGTGCTATACAGTGCGAATTAAAACATGAAAACATCTGTACAAACGATGCCAGCATTTATTTACTCACATATTATTATATATAATACTCATCATTTAACACGTATTTACACAAACATCTATGCATATATGTACTACGTCTTAGCTGTCGTGATCAATAATTGCGCGCAGAAATTTAGCTTGCGTCATTTTCTATCGCCAGCTATTCCATCAGTTATACTACAATTGATCCGCCTCAGGAACTAAAATAATTTTGTGCTTTATATTACATTAATATTTGAATGGAATTAACTTCATAAGTTTTTATAGTAAGTAAGTACCTAATAGATGTTCATGAACTTTCTGGAAAAGCCCACTGAGTTTCTCGCCGGATCTTCTCAGTGGGTCGCGTTTCCGATCCGGTGGTAGATTCTGCGAGGCACTGCTCTTGTTAGGGTCAGTGTTAGCAACACTCCGGTTTGAGCCCCGTGAGCTCACCTACACACGTTAGGGTGAAGCTGAAATAGCCTCTCAAGGCTATCAGGAGAGGTAGGAAAATAAAAACCTGGAAATGAAATCAGTCACAAAAAAACTAGCCCATGTAATTTTTGTATTTCTGTACTCACTGGTATTATATTGGTTCAGTGTTTGAGTATTGTACCCGGAATGTCGTGAAATCCTACCCATTTTTGCCGCGAAGCATTCTTATATATATTCCGTATGATTGTTATTATGGCAGTATATGTATACATGTACAAATGAATATACGTAAGTTATTCCAATAAGAGGATACTTTCATCTATCTGAAGGTTATCTGAAGGTGTGCGTTTTATGAACTGTAATTGTGAATGGTCTCCAATAGGTAACCAGTCAACACCAGATGAACCATGGCTTTAGTTTTTTAACACCATATTTTATTAGTTTGGTATATATATGTTTGTTTGTATGTAACAGAATCTTTGAACGTTACTTTCATTGACTTGAAGACCGATTAGCTTGAACCTTTGCACGCACATCTAGATATATTTTTTCTGAACTATGCTGATAGCCTTGAGAGGCTAAATCAGCGTTACCGGACTAGTAGGTAAGCTCACGGGGCTCAAACCTGGCGAAGTTGTTAACACTGACCCTAGCAAGAGCAGTGCTTAGCAGAATCTACCACCGGCTCGGAAATGCGACCCACTGAGAAGATCCGGCGAGAAACTCAGTGGGCTGTGTTTGTGGGTTAGTTTACTCGCTGAGCTCTTCGTCATAAGCGATGGGTTCAACGAGAACGATGACCGGTGCTTGAGGTACCTAAAAGAACCGTTAGTGGATCGGGAGGATCCGAAATAACGTATTTTGGGCGACGTCGACCATTTTACCACCTGCGGACCGACAGGAACAGGAATGTAGTTATCGGCGGCCACGACGAAAGGGTTCTTGTGTTGTGCCGATTTCGCGAAATGGCGCACTGATGTCTACCATCTAGAACCGACACAATACAAGCATTTTATAACTTCGCTCTAATTTCCTGACAAGTATCAACATGATAAAAAAAGATGAAATTAGTCTGTTAATTCAGTTTGCTGTATTCGCATCTTTTATAGTTTTTCTTGATTTCAAAGGAAACTGTCACATTATGGTATGATCCTCAGGTTTGAGCCCCGTGAGCTCACCTGCTCGCTCGATGGCGCCGGCATAGCCCTCTAAGGCTACTTACTAGCTTAGGTAGGATTTTTTTGTTATAAACGCATAGAACACTTGACGGGGCCATCGATCACAAATGCTCATTAAACCACACCGCTATTACCACCAAATACAGGCTAATCATTTCGAAATTAGCTAACAAATTTAGCACATCATTTAATTATCTAAACGATGTGGGTGTTTTGGAGTTAATTACCTATCGATCTATTAGGTATTTACATTAATGAGCGTCTATTTGTGGTAATCCAGAACAACCACATTGGCTAATTGCTTTGGTCAGTTAAACAGACAGGGCTATAATTAACGTCGCAGTCCGTGTCCGGAATGACGTGCAACAGGGAACTTCGTAAACGGCCACTAGCTATTAAATTAAAAACTCATTTGTAAATTGAAATCTATATATATAAAAATCAATCGTTAGTCTCGCTAAAACTCGGAAACGGCTGGACCGATTTGGCTATTTTTGGTCTTGAATTATTTGTGGAAGTCCAGAAAAGGTTTAAAAGGTAGATAAATATGAAAATGCTCGGAATTAAATAAAAATAACAATTTTGTTTTTCCTTTGATGTGTCCCCCGTCGGACGGATTACTTTTGTTTGTTATAAGATAATTTTATACAAAAGTTTAGGTATTTTATTTATCGATTGAGACACTAAGAAGTCTTCCGGGTCAGCTAGTTCATTGATAAAAAACTAGGTCTTAGCTTATCTTGAATACGTGTCTGTTTGTATAAAATTAATTCTGCCGGTTTTTATCATACTCAAGTTATTCATGATGAGTAAATTAAACGATATAGATGTTTGTTTCAATTTTTCATAAATATTTTCTAAACTTTATACTGGTTCAATTCTTAGTATTGTTGCACTTAGGAAATTGTACATTTTTAGGAAATAATTTTAAATGGACACTTTATTTTAGTTTCTTATGATATCCGCTTTAGCAATGCAAACATAAAAATTATGCGTTTTTACTTTGCTCTACATATAAATACATCTAAATTAATACGTGAAGCAAAAACTTTGTATCCCTTTTTACGAAAATTGCGCGGACGGAGGAGTATGAAATTTTCCACACTCATAGAGAATATAGAGAAGAAATGCACAATGCTAATATTTTTTTTAAATAATGCATAAAAGATACATTAAATCAATAAAGAAAACATTACACACACTACATATTTGACGCACACACGCATGCATACTATTTATTGTCAAACTTTGGTTCTTGACGTCTGTGGTCAAATTGAGAATATATTAAATATTATTTGTCTTTATTAATATTTTTTTATAGTGTAGCCTTGGTGAAATTTGTGATTATAGAAATATAAATTACAATCATAATAGTGTACAAACTTACAATTTCAATTAATTACAGTCGAATTTCGACTACTGTGGGACCTCTAGTACATCTAAATATTCTATGGTTTAAACTAAAGTAACGACAAACAACTAAATAAGGACATTTCATGAAATGACTTATTTTCATGTAGCACTCTCACATATTCCGCGCTTAATATGATCAGCGAATATTCAGTCGCGTCCAACCACAATAACTAATCACTTTCATTATTGGATTGAACATGATCATAAGGATTCTGGACCGACAACATTCGATTAATACTAAACAATAAAACTTACGCTAATATCCTCGTTACAAAACTGGTAGCAGGACCTCTTGTGAGTCCGCGCGGGTAGGTACC